TTCCCGGAACTCCTTCCCAGAGAGGAGTTGGGCTGGGGATGGATCCAATGTCAGGCTCTGGCTCCAGGCTGGGAGAGCTGGGAATGGCCAGGCTGGAGAAGGGAAGGATCCAGGGAGAGCTTGGAGCCCCTTCCAGAGCCTGCAGGGGCTCCAGGAGAGCTGGAGAGGGATTTGGGATCAGGGCCTGCAGTGCCTGGAAGGACACAGGGAATGGCTTCCCACTGGGAAAGGGGAGATTGGGAAGGGATTCTCGGCTGGGCTGGAATTCCCAGGGAAGCTGTGGCTGCCCCTGGATGATCCCTGGAGTGTCCCAGGCCGGGCTGGATCCCCTGGGATAGCGGGAAGTGCCAGGATTGGATCGGGATGATCCTTAAAATCCCTTCCCACCCCAAACCATCCCAGAATCGGATCATTCCCACCTTTCCCCCCCCCCCCCATCCATCACCCCCTGGAACCCAAGCCCTGCGGGATCAGGGGGTGGGAACTCTCCCACTCGGGAAGGATCCCCCTTCCCACCATTCCCAGGCCTCGTTCCCGGCCGGAAGACGCCGAGGATTCCCGGGAAGTACCGGTGGTGTCCTGTTTGGTGACGAAGGATTCCGGAGGGGTCACGGCCGGGGGGCGGGGCAGGCGCCGGGCGATGCAGATCAGGCACGACTGGAAATCTGGGAGAAAAAAAAAAATTCCCGGGAATGGGAATGGGAAAACCCCTGAGAAGCCGCTCCCCCCCCACACCGGGAATCCCGAATTTCCCTCCGATTCATTCCATTATCCCTGCCCTGCCCCCTCTCCCTGAAAAATTGGGCTGGGAGGGATCGATTGTGGAGCTTCCCCCTGGGGATCTGGGAATAAACTCGGGATTGAAAAACTCCCCTCTGGAAAAAGGGGATTTGGTGCCCAAAAAATTTCCCCCTCGTTTATTCCTTAGGGAAGGAATTCCCGGCCCCAGCAGGAATGGGGGGATGGGTGTTGCTCCTGCATTCCCATCCCTGTTCCTTTCCTGCATTCCCAGCCCATCCCTGTGCTCCTGCATTCCCATCCCATCCCATCCCATCCCATCCCATCCCATCCCATCCCTGTATCCCATCCCTGTATCCCATCCCTGTATCCCATCCCTGTATCCCATCCCTGTATCCCATCCCTGTATCCCATCCCATCCCATCCC